AAATAAAATTTAATTAATTAAATAGGGAGTTTATAAATTATTATTATTGTGGGGAGTGTTGAAAATCGAAGAGATTGTGTGTGTAAGTCTGTGTGAGTCCAAAAAAAAGCATTTAAATGAAATTCAAATCGAGAACGAAGTGATTGATTCTTTGACCGTCAATACACCTTTTGTCACTTTCAAGAATTGTAAGTTTAAACAGATTATAATAAATAATAACAAAACTTTAAAACTTATAAAAATAAATAAAATACAAAATATATGAGACAACACATGTTATTAAAATCATTAATTATATATCATAATATATAATATATATAAGCATGAGCAGTAACTTATTAAAACATTTTTAAGGTTAAGGAACTAGTACGCATGCGCTAAAAAATAGAAGCATGCGCACTAATTCGTTACTACATTCAAGCGGGAGGGAATGAGGCACTTTTCTCCCTGGCACAGATTCAAGCGGGCGGGAATGTGGCACTTAGCTCCCTGAAAACAGGGAGCAAAATACGTACTTTCCATCCAGGTGTGAGAAAAAAATATTTCTAGTTGTATCAAGAGAAGTAGAAGTAAAAGAAGAAGAGGAATAGATTGTAGAAGCTTATTTTTTATTTCAGATTCTTACGTAATGTGTAGATATTTTTCGATGCGTTGCTTTAAGGTCAAAAGATTTATATGCATTTTTATTTTTTATTTATTTATTTATTTATTTTTTTTTTTTTTTGTAAGATACTAATTGTTCTGAAAATGTTAGTTTACCGAATCACAGAATTATCAAATTTGTTTACCGGGTGTATTTGTAATTTAATTGTTATGGCAGTTTATAATTAAATTTTAAACTTTTGAAAGATATATATATAACAAACAAAAGAAGAAAAAATATTATTAAAATTTATATGATTTTAATTATTTACAAATTTTTATAAAATATCTTATAGATAATATAAAATGTAAATAGTTAATATTGGTAAGTAAATCATTGTTGATTTTAAAAAGCCACCTATCAGCAAAATCCGCAATTATTCACTTATCACTCAATAGTTAAATTAATAGTTATAGTTAGTTTAGTTATGTTAATAATTTTTTATTTCTTGTTTAATATTTTATATTCGACGAGAAATTATTTTGACTCTCGAGTTGAAACCTTTTCTTCTTCTTTCTTCCATTATTTACTTTTTTCCCGTTAAGAATTGTCGAAAATTGTTCGACTCACGCGAGAATATATATATATATATATATATATATAAAAAGAAAATAATAATAAAAAAAAATACAACTCTTTCTCTTCAAATCTTGCAAATTTTCTTCAGGATAATTGAAGATATTCGAATATATAAAAGTATATTCTTTTAACCATCTTGACCTATTAGGACGTAGATCCTACGTCGTGACGATTTTTCCCGAAAATTAAAAGTGAAGTATAGGCATTGTGCAAAGTCATGGTGGTAGGACAGGGATCCTATAGGAGGGATGCGCCATGTACATTGCTGGGGGAACCGAAACTCGATTTTGCCCGTGAATCATTTAAACATTAAAATAATTATGAAATAATGAATTGTATCAAATACAAAAAAAAATGAATTATATTTAATGATAATTAAAAATTTATATTAAAATAGAATAGGTTATACGAAAAAATTCTTATAAATCCAAGCTGGTCCCCCAAAATTTTCAGCCAATGGCACATGAGCTGAATATGAATGGCGCATCCCGCCTACAGGATCCCTATGGTAGAAGCTGAAATGGACACTAGATTCAGTGAGAATAGCTTTGAACATAAAAGACGGTGTTTTTTATTTTGGATTTCACAAAACATGCGTCTGACAATTAATTTTATGATATTTAAAAAATAAATGGGTAGAAATAGCCATCGCAGTTGCTGTGTACATTTGGCACCGAAATCTCGAATCAGAATTGACTGCTCTCCCTCAGTGCCGTACCTACGACAGCTTGTTTGAACTTGAAGACTAAAAAATAAAAAAATTTTCTGAATTTGTGGCGAGCACATGTGATTCATGTGATCTTCAAATTTTTCTAATTGGTCTGTGGTAGTTTATAGTATGTTGTCTATATATATATATATATATATATATATATATATATATATATATATATATTATTTAGAATGAGTAAAAATCAAAGGAAAATAATCTAGTTCCGTTAAACTTTGTTACTATGATCAACTTTGTCACTATTTTAGTTATGTTTGTATACCGTCGAGATGCATAACATGTTTAACACAAAATTTACATCTACATTTTGTTTTAATTATAAATATAATCGCGATTAAAAAATAACGTCACTTTTATAAATGCTCATTAAACTGGACATTTCGGTTGATCAAAAATATTATTTAGTCATTGTAATCGGTTAAAATATCGAATATTTCAGTAATTTCATTATCTATTAAAAAAGTTTCTAATCATCGTTAGTGTTTCCTCACTCTTTTTTTTTTTCTACTTTTGAATTATTTTATTTTTCGCGTGTGTTATTAATTTTTCATTCCTTTTTTTTTNATCGGTTAAAATATCGAATATTTCAGTAATTTCATTATCTATTAAAAAAGTTTCTAATCATCGTTAGTGTTTCCTCACTCTTTTTTTTTTTCTACATGAACGATGATATTGAAGAAGAACTACTAAATAAACTTCGATTCCTTTTTTTTTTTTTTTTTTTTTTTCTTTCTTGTGTATATGTGCGTTTTTATGTTACCTTTATTTTTCCTTAAAGAAGAAGAATGTATTATTATCCTAGGTGACCGTATACGTAAGTAAATTTTTGTTTAAACATATAAACGCGATTAACACGTTGGGTACCAAGCGTTATTACGTTTTGTTTCTTCCGGGCCCAAGTTTTTCTCGGCGCACTAGAACGATGGCGAAGAGATATGCGAGAAAACCAACATTTTAACTCGAGTAGATCTATGCATTGTCAATTATCTACATTTACAGTGCTATCGATTTAGATTTGGAAACGTTTATCGCTTTCCCTGGAAAGCATACATCTTTCATGTATAGATTATTTAGTTTAGAAGCATACTTTTTCTAAATTGCACCTCAGTAATTTTTTATCCCAAAAATGTTTATTAGACGTCGTGAAAGTACAATTGAAAGTGAGAGTAGTGATAAAAACGTTGTGAGTTTTAGAAGAAAAGTTAGTAATAGAATTATTTCTATACTAGCTCTATTAAATTTGTTTTCTAAATGCAATTGAAAATCTTATTTAACTTCAACAAGAAATGAGTCAAACATAGAAATATGCCAGTCATTCAAATACGGGTGATGCGGTCCTCAACGTGTTACAATAATTTTACATTCGGATACAGTTACAAAGTTAAAAGATTAAAAAAAAAAAAAGAAAAAAGATAAATATAAGGGAAAAAATATAAACAAAAAAATTCACGAAAATCCCATCTTTTTTTTCTTTTATAATATTGAATTACAAAATAATAAACATAACAATAAATACACGTGTTTCTTTCTTAACCTCCGAAATCTCGACGAAAATCATTTATTTCTTCTCTTTTAGATGTCAGCACATACGCCAATTAATTATTCTATTTAATTAGTAGCTTTTGTTTTTCTATGTTTTGTTTCTCTACGGAATTTACTCATTGAAAAATCATTTTATTATCCGTCTATTTTTTATTTCACATTTTTTTCTATTTTTTTTTTCCAAATCAAAATCACAATTTGTTTTTCTTTTGTTTTATTCTTCTATGACATTTATTGAAAAAATCATTTTCTTATTATTCGTTTATATTTTTATTTCACATTTATTTCTTTTATTTTTTTTTTTTTTTCAAATCAAAATGACAATCTTTTATTATAGTTAAAAAAAAAAAAAGTAATATTTTTATTTATATTATTGTTTCAAATTTAAAAATGATTCGCGGTAAAATAATAAAGGAGATGTATCGGAACGATTTTGCGCATGCGTAAAACAAAATTCAATTGACATCTAGACTAGCATCATCGTAATACCGGACACAAGGGTCCAGAGACTGAGCGCCAGGGTAAACAAACCTCAAGAAAAACAAAAAAAGCATCGTAAATACAATACAATAGATATATTTGATTAAAGAAATAATTAAATTGAAAGTTATTGTTATTTTTCTTTTTTATTCTATTCTAATTTAAAAATCAATTGTGTGTGTATTCTTTGATGTTATGAAACTTTAATTTGTTATCGAATATCATTGAATATTTTCGTTACCATTAAATAATTCATAAAATTAGAGAGTAGTCCTTTGTATAATATTAATGGACATATAATATTAAGGAACATCTAATGTTTTGTAGTTTTTAAAAATATTTCTTAGATTATTGTTTCTTATAAGATACAGAATAATAAAATGTTTGAAATAATTGTAACAAAAAATAAAATTTCCATCTTTGATTGAAAAAGCAAAATAATAAAATGAGTATAATGAAAAACTTGTCAATCTTTATGAATATATGATTATAAATACAAAGATTTTATTGCCACATTTGTTTGATGCACTGTTACATATTTGTTTATTTATATTACATATTTTTTAAAGTATGAATAATTAAAATATATAATATTAAATTAGAATGAGAGAGAATTTGTGATTAGTCGACTGGATGTAACGTAATAAATCTTGAAAGTATAAATGCTACTATAAAAGTACCTGCTACGAAACAAGCAACAAAAGTATACCATGTTTCTTCGTCAAATAGATCAGTAAATGCTGGTATTTTATTGTAAAGTGTATCGATTACTTTCATATTATAATTTTTACTAGTTGAAACGTGACTTGCCATGATGAAAATATTTGTGTTTTTTTTTTTTTGTAGAATATTTTGTACAATTTGAAAATAGATCAATGTGTGTTGTAATTTGAATTGAATATATTTTAAATATAATTCGAATAAAAATTACAAAGTAATTTTTATTTCATATACGAGATATTAGTTATTAATTATTAATTAGTGTTACTACAAAATTTCATAAAATATTCCAATGAAGTTTTGAATAATAATCAAATGATTTACAAGACTTTTTTCTTTTTTTTTTTTCTCAATATATATTTCTCTGGTTTAATTCAAATTTGAATTTTAATAAAATACACCTCTTCTTTTAGCAAATGGTTTGATTTTCTGCCATTTCTTCTTTCTCTGTTTCTTTTTCTCCTCAAGCAATATTTCTTTAGGTGTCTTTTCAGGAGGTGGAACTAAAGAACTGACATGTTTGTTGCAATATTGTAAAATATTCAAAACGTTCAAATTTCCACACTTGAATATTACTTTGTTTCCTGATGCTGAAAAATATAGGCAAATTTATAAATAACGTTGATTATTTTTCTTTTCTTTTTTTTTTAATTGAAAAGAAGAATTTATATTTTTTTTGATAAATATATATATATAATTTTTGTTGTGTCTAATACTCACTAAGATCGAATGTAACGATAGGCTCAGATTGATCGCAGACAATTTTGGTTTTTAATGCACACAGAGGATTTGTTTTCTTAACTGCCTTGCTTGATATATGAAAAAGAAACTTTCTATGGAAAAAAAAAAAACAAAAAATTATTTTTAACAATTTATTACATTTCACTTTTTTTTTTTCAAGAATTTTTACTAATTATTATTATTAAAATTAATCACGCAAAAGTATAATGAAATGTTTATGTTATAGGAGAAAAATGGCTCAAATGGAACAGCAATTACCCATACCGATGCCGGATTTAAGTACTCTTCGCATAACAACAGCAGTTTCTATGCTTGGTAAAGCGTATGGATGTGGACAGTGTAGTGGTAAGTTAAAAACATTTATCAAAATATTCAATAATATATTAATTTAGAAAATATTAAATGAATATAGTTTTTAAGATATATATATATATCTATATATAATATTATTATTAATTATTATTATTGTCAAATTTTAAAATAATGGCAAATGCAAATGAAAATAATAACCTTTATCTACTGAAATTAAAATTCTAAACTATCCATTTATAAGATTACTTAAATACTAGTTAGAAGTTTCTAAAAGTATAGATGACATACGTACTTCCATTAAATGAGCTTTTTATAGTAGATTGAAAAATCAAACGTGTTTCACTTCATACACACATATATATATATAAGAATATTTATAATTATTTCTTTAGAATTTAACTATTTTACCTTATTTTAATCACGGTACAAGTAAACACTCGAATGATATTGATATGCTACTAAAAATAACGAAGTATAGTATGCTACTGTCTGCTCCGAAATTACAGTGCGCATGCGCGAGTTATCGACGTCATTGCAATCCGTCTGACATGGTAAGCGTCAGGGTTATTTATCGCGTGTACACGGTTACGGACGGATTGACAGATAGACGGACAGCATACATATATATGTATATATATATATACATATGCACGTTTATATAAAGAGTTAATGGATAAAAATCAAAATGAAACTAATCTCTAAAAGTGATATCATTCATAAAAAAAACTATTCGGCTCGTGTTTATAACATCGATAAATTTTCGATATATCGACTTGTAAAACTTATCGATATTTCATTTTTCTTTTATATTTTCTTTCTTTTTTGAAAATTTTCAACAATGTGTGTACAAGAATGCAAAATAATTTAATTCATTTTATTTGTTTTCTTTTTTAAATGGTATTTAAAAAGGAAAAAAAAAATAACAAGATTTACTAACCTCGTTTCGTTAACATTCTTGTAAAAGGGATCAAACTGTACGACGATTTTATCAACTAATTTGAAATTAATCGCTCTCATTTCTTTAGCGATAGAGCTCATTAAACCACGAGAGCGTGTAGCGAACGCTCCGCTAAGAGGAATCGACATTTTGCAGACAATGTAAATACTCTAATTTACGTACACGACGAACAAAACGTATCACACCATTTTATCATTTAATAACTTGTGCACGGTTAGGTTCTTCGAATATCTTCTAAAATAAAAATTACCATATTACAATGCTACCAATATGTTGGAAACAATCTATCAAGTATAGGGAATATTTCTTGATGAAATTTTCTATTTCGCCATCAGATGGAGTCTGCGGCATTTTCGCCGAGGATTCCTATTCGGCCGTTAAAAGTGTAGTTGAAATGAAATGTGTCTGACGTTACTGTGAAAAAAAAAGTATTCTACGTATACAATGTATATATATATGTATATATATCTACTTGCATCGGTACGTCGTGCTTATAATAAAGAAGAAAACTATGAAGGGATACGAAATATTAGAATGAAATTCATTCGTACTTAATAGTTTTATGCACACGTGCATAATGTCATTCATAAATTAGAAAAAATCTTCTGAATATCGTTAAAATATTGGTATGGACATTTCAATTAATTTATTTCTTTTCTTTCTTTTTTTTTTTTTTTAAATAGAAAAAATAACTAATAAAAACATATTATTTTTCATTATTAGTTTTGAATTAAAACAATGGCAATGGGAAACTATCTTTTCGATTTCCTATTAAGAAGATGGAATTTTTTGTTTTCTCCAGAATCAGAATATTCAAATAGCATATCTTCATATTGCACATCTTCAGATTGCATATCTACACTAGAATCTGAATATTACAGTATGTTCTCACTAGATCTTCAGATGACAGCCACAATAGAATGTCCATATAAACAGTATGTCCAAGAATTCTTTAACTATATCATAAAAAAGAATTAAAAGTTAGGTAAGATAGAACAAGCAAATATCTTTTACTACCTTTACGGGTTTCTTCTATTATCATTTATAATATACAGAACAAGTGTGTATTAACATACACCCCTTAAGAAGGCATAGATGAATTACAAATATACAATGGAAAGTTCAAATTTGGAATTAAGTGAAAAAAAAGTGTGTTTTCATAATAAATTTTTTATTGTGATTTTGATTAAATTATTATATTCGTATATGTGATAACTTGTCAAATATTTGTGTTATGTTACGTGATAACCCCTGTGGATTGTCTTATTAACTGTTGTGATAAATGGACACGCGTTGATAAATTGATATTACTAAAACTGAATATATATATTTACTAGTCATTATTAATGATAATTATTTAAATATAATATTTATAAAGTAAATTAATTATGTAAAATATGAAATATTACGTACACTTTTTAATAATAAATCTTGATAATTAACCTAATGAGAATATTTCGAATGAGTAATAATCGTTTTATTTACCTAGTCGCGAATTTAAAATAAGAGCGCGGATTGGACGCGCATAATCACCAATTAGTTATATTAAAACAGTTGGCACTAAAGAGTTGGCAACCATGAATTGGATGGTAATCTTTCATGCTATGTGGTCGAGGGGGAAATGGAGTTGTAGGGCTCAGTGGGTTTTATGTTCAATTTTTTACTTATTTATTAGTGATTAACTGGTATTTTTAATCAACGGCTGTAACTATGTACCCCGTAGGACAGCGTAAGTATACTTTTGTTCTAGGCCTACTTTGATGTGCTTGAAAATGCTTTTAAATAGATCCCATTCCATTTGCCAAGTCGATATTAAAATATCGCTCAAGTGGTTTTTTTTATACATAATTTAATGTTAATAACAAAAAAAGAAATTACACAAGTTCAAAAATATTTGTAATTAGTGGCACGTTGATCTGTATAACTAAAAATTTGATTAGCAATGGATCCACGTATATGAATTAAATGTCAAATTACGATAATTTTCTTTCTCTACTATTAAACCTAGTTCAACAGGCATTACGTGTCTTATATTGCATTTGATTCATCATATCATATATTTATAGTAGATAATATGCATCTAATGAAAATGGTATATACTACCTGTCAAATCTTTATCTATTTATACATTTATTATTTAATATTATCTTATAACAATTGTTTATCTTATATTTTATATTATAATCAATTCATATTGTTGCATTTATCTTATAAGATATTTATGTTATTTTGATTATAGTATTATATGATTGTTTTTTTATCGTTATCGTTATGTCATCTATCGTTTTTATTTAACTGTTGAAAAATTTATTAAATAACATATATGTTTTTAAATAATCTACGTTAAAAGAGAAAATAATTGTTTTGCAATTTGCCATTAATAGATAGTTGTATTTTGTATTTCATTTTTGTTTTGTATTTTTGTGTTATTTATTAGTTAGTGAATTATGTTTGATAAATTAGTGATGTTTTTCATGTGTATTTTTCAAAATTTGTAGCCCCCCCACCTGGACCAACAACCAGCACTTCCGTTGGAACAGCCGGAGCAACTGGGAGCAATGTTGTTACTCCAAGTTCTCTGGGGCTGGTCCCAACCCAACAAACACATACTCCACCTCAACCTCCAGAACTGCCAAGTAAGAGGATTTGTTTGATATAAATAATAGGAATGTAATTATATAAATTAAAAGCTATATTTCTAATGAAAATTAATTTTACAGTGTTTTCATGCCCACGAAGACCCAACATAGGACGCGAAGGTAGACCGATTGGATTAAGAGCAAATCATTTTCAAATTACTATGCCAAGAGGTTTTGTGCATCATTATGAAATAAATATACAACCTGATAAATGCCCTCGCAAAGTTAATAGAGAAATCATAGAAACAATGGTTCATGCATATAGTAAAATTTTTGGAACTCTTAAGCCTGTGTTTGATGGCCGAAATAACTTGTATACAAGAGACCCTTTACCTATTGGAACTGACAAAATAGACTTAGAGGTAATTTTTTTTTTATTTATCGTGACTTCTCTAATATTCTTTTCTTGTCAAATATATAATACAATATTTTGCTAATATAGGTAACACTGCCTGGTGAGGGTAAAGATCGAGTTTTCAGAGTCGTAATAAAATGGGTAGCTCAAGTTTCATTATTTGCCTTAGAAGAAGCACTAGAAGGGCGTACAAGACAAATTCCATATGACGCTATACTTGCGTTAGATGTTGTAATGAGGCATTTACCATCAATGACTTACACACCTGTTGGAAGATCATTTTTTAGTAGTCCAGATGGATATTATCATCCATTAGGTGGAGGCAGAGAAGTATGGTTTGGTTTCCATCAATCTGTTAGGCCATCGCAATGGAAAATGATGTTAAACATTGATGGTATGTGTTATTTATGATTTTAGTAAAATAATTCAATAACTTTCGATGTGTGGTTTATGTATTCTTTAATGGGGTTACCCCTACTTGCAACTTTCAAAAAATCGATTTCTTTTTTTTGCATTTTTTTGAAGTATATAGTAATATCTGAAAATATATCCTGAAAGTTTGAAGTCGATCCGAACAAAATTAACTGAGATGTGAGCGTTGAAAGAGAAGAAAAAAACATTCCGTGTAAACTGGAATTGAAACTTTAATCGCGTTTTTCTCGAAATGCCATTTCTGAAGTCGGTGACCAAGATTACTCGAATACTAATGAAACGATCATCTTCAAATTTTACAGGCTTCTTTAATACCTAAAAATGTAGTCTTTAATCGTTCGATTTTTTTCCTTGAAATCGAACCATAAATTTTGACTATTCGCCATTTTGTGAAAAATGAATATTTTTTTAAATCCTTCGATTAAAGACTAGTTTATACTTATATCTAACTAAATCCGTCCGAATTTTTGGTTTCGGATAATCCACTTTGCCGCAATGTTGGTCACCGCAAACCGTCTAAAAAAAAAAAAACATCATTCATTCGACTGTCATTAACCACTTAATAATGTATTATTTTTCCAATTAAAAAATTACTAAAAAGTTCTCCAAGATGTGTACTTTAAGATGGTATATTAATCAATTAAAAAAGTTCTATAGTTTTCTTTAAAAAAATTCATGAAAAAGGCCTTTTCTTTTTGCGTTACAAGTAGAGGTAACCCCTTAATTGCATTTCAGTTTCTGCAACTGCATTTTATAAGGCACAACCAGTAATAGAATTTATGTGCGAAGTATTAGACATTAGAGACGTAAACGAACAGAGAAAACCATTGACAGATTCACAACGAGTTAAATTTACCAAAGAAATTAAAGGGCTCAAAATAGAAATAACTCATTGTGGGACTATGAGACGAAAATATAGAGTATGTAATGTTACACGTAAACCAGCACAAATGCAATCGTAAGTAGTATCAAATGTAATATTAAAATTATTATATATTATTTTATTAAAAAAAAAAAAAAAAACTTATATATTAAATTATTTATTTAAGATTTCCATTACAATTGGAAAATGGACAAACAGTTGAGTGTACTGTTGCAAAATATTTTTTGGACAAATACAAGATGAAATTGCGTTATTCGCATTTACCTTGTTTACAAGTAGGACAAGAACACAAACATACTTACTTACCGCTTGAGGTTAGTTAATATTATATTAAATTTAAACAATAATAATATGAAAATATTAAGATTAAAAATTAAGACAATCGAAATATAATAATAAATATAAATATAAATATATATATAAGAATGCTAGAGCTAAACATTAATTTATTGTCTTAGGTATGTAATATTGTAGCTGGACAACGTTGTATAAAAAAATTAACTGACATGCAAACATCTACTATGATAAAAGCAACGGCACGTTCAGCGCCAGATCGTGAAAGAGAAATTAATAATTTAGTTAGGCGGGCTGACTTTAACAATGATTCTTATGTTCAAGAGTTTGGGTTGAGTATATCAAATAACATGATGGAAGTTCGAGGACGTGTATTACCTCCACCCAAGCTACAGTATGGTGGGCGCGTAAGTTCCCTCAGTGGACAGGTAATAAATGTGAGGAAAATCATGTTTTTTTATTTTTTATATTTAGAGAAATCATGTATAGGAATTATTTCATACTAGTGAACATTTCATTTTTAATTCACAAGTCAAATTTATATAATATAATTTATATTTAACTTATAATAATATGGATTCTCATTAATCAGTGTGGTTTTTTTTTTTTTAATAAAGGGAACTTTCAATGAGTTATTCCATAAAATTTGGTATATGGTGGTGAAATATTATCTTTTATATAAGCATAGTAAAAAAAAAGATTTCTTATATTTTTTAAGATGTAAAAATAATTGAATTCTTTATTTGTTAATTATTATAACTATGTTATTTATAAATTAGAAAATCTTTATAAGTTAATTTGTATTAATAATCACTACGAGTTGATAGTTCCCTCCTAATGTAAAAGATTATTATTACAATTCATGATATTATTTTCTTAAATATTTTTGTATATTTACAATTACAAACACAAATAGAAGAATTTAATTATCTGTAATATATAACTGTTGTTTTTTTTATTATTAAAGACGAAGCAGCAAGCAATGCCCAATCAAGGTGTTTGGGATATGAGAGGCAAACAATTCTTCACAGGAGTTGAAATAAGAGTTTGGGCAATAGCTTGCTTTGCACCACAAAGAACAGTACGAGAAGATGCATTACGTACATTTACAACACAATTGCAAAAAATTAGTAACGATGCTGGTATGCCTATTATTGGACAACCATGTTTTTGTAAATATGCTACAGGACCAGATCAAGTAGAACCTATGTTTCGATACTTAAAAGCAACTTTCAAAGCATTACAACTGGTGTGCGTGGTATTACCTGGGAAAACTCCTGTGTATGGTAATTACGATAATGATTAAATTAACATATTTATCAAAGATATACTTTTAATTAATTAACAATTTCATTTTAGCTGAAGTAAAACGAGTTGGAGATACTTTGCTAGGAATGGCAACTCAATGTGTACAAGCAAAAAATGTTAATAAAACATCACCTCAAACCTTGTCAAACTTATGTCTGAAGATAAATGTAAAATTAGGTGGCATCAATAGCATTCTAGTACCAAGTATAAGACCAAAAGTTTTTAATGAGCCTGTTATATTTCTTGGAGCTGATGTAACTCATCCTCCTGCTGGAGATAATAAAAAACCCAGTATAGCTGCTGTCGTAGGAAGTATGGATGCTCATCCGTCAAGATATGCAGCTACAGTTAGAGTGCAACAACATCGGCAAGAAATTATACAAGAACTCAGTTCGATGGTCAGGTAAGTTGAATGAAACAATTTTACATTCGTTTTAATATATTTTTCATAATACATTGTTAACATAAAATTCAATTTTTTTTTTTTTTTTATAGGGAATTATTGGTAATGTTTTATAAGAGTACAGGAGGATATAAACCACATAGAATAATTCTCTATCGCGATGGAGTATCGGAAGGACAATTTCTACACGTTTTACAACATGAATTAACTGCCATTCGGGAAGCTTGCATTAAACTCGAAGCTGATTATAGGCCTGGCATTACTTTCATCGTAGTACAAAAAAGACATCACACTCGTTTGTTCTGTGCAGATAAAAAAGAACAAAGTGGAAAAAGTGGTAATATTCCAGCTGGTACAACCGTTGACGTTTGTATTACTCACCCAACAGAATTTGATTTTTATCTATGCAGTCACCAAGGTATTCAGGTGAGTTGTTACATGTACATGTTTGTTGCAGTTTCGTGTGGTCAGAAATGGGATTTGTGAATATTATGAATCCTTATAATTATATTTGATTTCAGGGAACATCTAGGCCGTCTCATTATCATGTTTTATGGGATGACAATCACTTTGAAAGTGATGAATTACAGTGTCTTACGTATCAATTATGTCATACGTATGTAAGATGTACTAGATCTGTTAGTATACCAGCACCTGCTTATTATGCCCATCTTGTGGCATTTAGAGCAAGATATCATCTAGTAGAAAAAGAACACGATAGGTAAATTTATATATAAATAATGATTATATGTTAATAGAGTAAATATGTATAAATCATATAAATTAATATTTTGTAATATGTATTTATAGTGGGGAAGGATCTCATCAGTCAGGGTGTAGTGAAGATAGGACACCAGGTGCAATGGCACGAGCAATTACGGTTCACGCGGACACAAAGAGGGTTATGTATTTTGCATAATTGTCTTTTTTTTTTTTTAAAACATCATAGATAAAAGTAACATATATACAAAACAAAAAAAAAAGGAAGAAAAAAAGAGGAAATCAACGCCTTATGTTGTTTTTTTAAAACATGGCATCTCAGAGCTTCATAATTGGTAATTATCATATCTGGTGGTAATAATCATATATAGATAATTATAACATTACTGAAAAATGTTGAATGATCTTCTTGAGTGGTCAATTTTTTTTTTTTACTTTTATAATTATAATAAGCCTATTCGCGGCGTGAGAGATCAAACACGGTGATAGCCAAGCCAGTATACAAGTGAAAGATCTGTATTATGAGTTTTCACTTAGAATTATACAAAAATAGTTTAGAAAATAAGTTTCGAAGGATGTGGATCAAGGACAAACAGTCATATTAAAATGCAGCGATTTGCAGCTTAACCAATTGGTTGTGTTGTTGCATGACGAAGTTTCGATACTATTTAAACAAACAATCTGTCCTGTAATGGGAATCACGTTAATGATCAATTTTACTTTATACAGTATAAGCTTAATTCTATGAGATCAATATTTTCGATTTATAATTGTATAAATTATTTAAATCAATGCTGTTAATACGTTTAAATATTATTTTTAGTGAAGTTGAATTATCAATAATTGTGAAAATGCTAATTAGATTATAATTAATGAAATTTGGAAAGAAAAATTGTGAACAGAGGATGGTATGGATACAACTACTATTTGAAAGTTTACTACTAGTTTATTGATAGGTTCATGCAATTACACTTTTCAACCAAACATTGTTTCTTAGATAGCTCAGATGGATATCTGAGCAGTCGCCCGAAAAGCGAAAGGTCTCGGGTTCGAATCCCGGTCTAATTAACAATGAGTAGGTTTAAACTGTTGTTGTATATGTTCCTTTACAAGATGAACTAGTAAACGAACGGTTGTGATGATAAAGATTTCGAAGAAATGATGGAAACAAGAAGAAAAGTAGAAAAAGAAATTAATGAAATTTCTGATGTAGCCTTTATACGATTTTAATTATGTTAAACATTATAGTGAGTCACTGCAATTAAAAGTCTAAATAAGAAGAAGATTGGGAAAAGTTAAGCTGAATTGAAGATGTCATTTAATTGGGCTAAGTCATAACATTTGAAAGATAATTATAAGATACGGTTCATTAATATGCATTAGAAAAAAAAGGTACGTGAGGTCTTCATCGAAAAATTAATTATAATTAAAAAA